TCCCCTCCCCTCCCCTCCCCTCCCTTTCCCTCCACGTGGCTAAGGTCTGTGCCCCTTCCTGGGTCAGAACCATCGTCTCACTTCTTGGGGATTGGCCTGACTCTCTTCTTGGCTTTGCACATACATCTATCATAGTATTTATCATGTTGAAACATCATTCATTTACAAGAAATCTATCTTTGTTAATGCAAGGTAATATTGGATTAATTGTATTAATATTATATTGTATTGTATGGGAGGTTATAGGTTGTACATCCTTGAATTCCTAGCAGTAAGCAATCTATTGAGTTTTTTGTTTTGTTTTGTTTGAGTCAGAGTCTCACTCCGTCACCCAGGCTGGAGTGCAGTGGCATGCTTACAGCCACCCCAGCATCAACATGCTGGGCTCCAGCGATCTTTCTGCTTCAACCTTCCAAGTAGCTGGAATTACAGGTGCACGCTACCAGGCCAGGCTAATTTTTGGACTTATTGTAGAGATGAGGTCTTGCCAAGACGCCCAGGCTGTTCTCAAATCCATGGGCTCAGGCAATCCCCTCACCTTGGTCTCCCAAACTGCTGAGATTATGGACTTGAGCCACTGCGCCTGGCCGAGTGTTTATTTTAGTGACTTTTTTTAGTCGAGATCTTACTCTGCCCAGTGTTATGATCACAGCTCGCCGTAGCCTCAACCTGCTGGGCTCAGGCGATCCTTCTGCCTCAGCCTCCTGAGTAGCTGGAACTACAGGCAAATGCCCCAAGCCTGGCTAATTTTTTTATTTTTTATTTTTTTAGTAGAGACAAAGTCTTGCTGTTTTTCCCCAGGCTGGTCTCAAACTCCTGGGCTCAGGCAATCCTCTCACCTTCAGCCTCCCAAAGTGCTGGAATTATAGGTATAAACCACCACACCCAGCTTCCCAGCAGCATTACATCTGGGATATGGTTGGTGCTAAGCAAATATTTGCTGAATATAGGACCTAATTTTAAAACAGTTGATCTCAAAATGATGGCCAAGCATATTCAATTCACCTGTGTGATTTTAATACATCTTTTTTTTTTAATTAAAGAGATTGAAATTTTAAGACACCTATGTCCCATGGAAAAATTGTTTCCAGAAACATATAAGCAGAATCCCACATTCATAAGAAACAGAACCATAAAGCGACTTCTTCAACTCTAAGACATCAGAAAAGACAGTCTCTGGACACCATTGCAGGTACAGAAGCCATTACCTATCACAGACGATTTCCCAGCTGGAGAACCTTGAGTTCTGACTAATTAGAGTCGGGTCATCTAGTCTTGCTGCCCCGAACAGCTGGTCTGTACACACGTCACACTCGTTCCTCCCAGTGGCAAAGTTCCAGTAGGGCAAAGCAAAGGACTCATTACCAATGAGCCGCTGAAAGCCAAGGGCAGGACTGGTCATTTGGCGTATGCCACCAGACACAACAAGAAGGCATAGAAGGCAAAGACCGACATGGATCTTGATCACATGCACAGAAGAGTAAAAATACCAAATGAATAAGTCAATGAAGAAGTTGTGGTGTGTTTGTGTGTGTGTGCACACATGTGTGTCTGATATGTATTCCCTCCCAAAGGCGCGGGATTACAGGCTGAGTCACTGAGCCCAGCTCATAAATACTGCTTTAAAAAAATAAAATAGGTCAAGTTCGGTGACTCAGCCTGCAATCCCAGCACTTTGGGAGGCCGAGGTGAGTGGATTGTCTGAGCCCACGGGTTTGAGACCCACCCAGGCAGCTTGATGAGACTTCGTCTCTACAATAAACCAAAAATTAGCAGGGCGTGGTAGCTCGCGCCTGTAGTTCCGGCTACTTGGAAGGCTGAGGCAGGAGGATCGCCTGAGTCCAGCAGGTCGAGTCTGCGGTGGCCAGGAGTGTGCCATTGCACTCCAGTCTGGGTGACAGAGTGAGACTCCAACTCAAAAAAATAATAAAATAAAATAAAATAGGAGATCCTGCCGTTTGTGACAACAAGGATGACTTTGGAGGACATTATGCCAAGTGAAATAAACCAGACACAGAAAGAAAATGACTGCACGATCTCACTTACATGTGAAATCTAAATATATATGGAGTGCCAAAAATAATGTATACACATTTTAAGATATGTTATCTATGTATTACTTTTCGAAGTTGAATTATATCATGGTAGCAATTTGTAGCGTGACATTTGCCTGACAGTTTTCTTTGACTGTCCTGCCTGTCGCATGGTGATGTTAGCATTCACTTGATCAGTGCCATCTTTTGAGCGAATGTCTTACTCAAAATATGTATACGTGTTTTGGGCACCCCTATATACAGGCCAGAAGCAGAGGCTCATGCCAATAATCACAGCACTTTGGGAAGCCAAGGCAGGAGGATTGCTCAAGTCCAGGAGTTCAAGACCAGCCTGGGCAACATGGAGAGACCTTGTCTCTAAAAAATAAAAATAGATCATTGCCTTGTTAAGCTATGGTGTGACCATGTGCTATTTGAGCTATGGCCAGGCCGTGTTTCCTGACTTTGGCCCCCTCCCTACCTTGGGGAGTTGAATCTCCTCTTTCTCTCTCTCTAATGTACTCTCTAAATAAACTATGTTTCCTAATCTAAAAAAATAAAATGAAAATAGGCCGGGCTCAGTGGCTCAGCCTGTAATCCCAGCACTGTGGGATGCTGAGGTGAGTGGATTGCCTGACCCCACAGGTTCGAGACCCACCCAGACAACTTGGTGAGACCTCATCTCTACAATAGATCAAAAATTAGCAGGGCGTGGTAGCACACGCCTGTAGTTCCAGTTACTTGGAAGACTGAGGCAGAAGGATCGCCAGAGCCTAGCAGGTCGAGGCTGCGGGGGCCGGGAGCCACTGCACTCCAGTCTGGGTAACAGAGTGAGACTAACTCAAAAAAAAAAAAAAAAATTAACCAGGTGTGGTGGTGTGTGCCTGTAGTCCCAGCTACTCAGGAAGCTGAGGGCAGAAGAATCATCTGAACCCCGGAGTTCAAGGCTACAGTGAGCTGTGATCATGCCACTGTACTTCAGCCTGGGCAGCAGAGTGAGATTCTGACTAAAAAAAAAATTTTAAATATATATATAATACATATACATAGATATATACATATAATTAGATTCCACATATATATAGAAACAGAGAGTAAAATGGTGTGATGGGGGGTGGGGGAGAAATGGGAAGATGTAATCCGAAAGGTACAAAGTTGCAATTCTATAGGTTGAATAAGTCTTGAGGTCCAGTGTGTGACACGTTGTATTGTATACTGGTAATTTGCTAAGAGAGGAAACTTTAGGTACTCTTACAACACACACACACATACACACACACACACAAACACACACATGTATACACACACACAACAGCTAACTAGATGTGATGTTGGGTATGTTAATTTGCTTGACTGCAGTAATGACTCACAATGTGTATGGATATCAAGAAAAGTATACCAAAACATCATGTTGTATGCCTTAAGTATATACAAAAAAAGTTTTTTTTAATTTTTTTTTCCTTTTTTATTGTAAACAGAGTTGGTGTCTTGCTATGTTGTCCAGACTGGTGAAACTCCTGGTCTCAAGCAGTCCTCCTACATCAGTCTCCCAAAATGCTGGGATTACAGACATGAGCCACTGTGCCTGGCCAAGGGATTTTTTTTTTTTTAATTAAAACTACCAAATATATGGTTTTGACCTACCTGGAGATCTCTTTCCAGCCACAACAAGTGGTACCGGTGCCAGGTAACAAAGGCAGGTCCTTGGTGCGAGAAATCTATGGCCTTGTAGGGGTTCCCTGGTCCTGAAATGGTTGGGAAACATATTAGAGACTACAGAATCAAATTTTTTAAATGTTAGACTTAGCCGGGCTCGGTGGCTCAGCCTGTAATCCCGCGCCTTTGGGAGGCTGAGGTGAGTGGATTGCCTGAGCCCGCGGGTTCGAGATCCGC